ATATTCTTTGAATCTCTGCTGGGCTGATGTATCAGCAGATATTGTACATCTGTTCTACCTTTTTTTTTTTTTTTTTTTTGTTTTTGTTGGCCATTTTTTTTTTTCTTCCCCTTTCCATATTTGTGTCTAAACCTTCTTCAGTGACTCTGTGCCATAAAGCCTCCCTCAACTGAGGAGGGATAAAAACAGCTTGGAAGAGAAAGTGTCAAAATCCTTTTAAGTGTCATGTCAAGATCAATGTAAAATAATGAATAATGTGACTAGTGGTTTGTTTGTCTTTTTGGCACTCTCTGCTTTGCAGTCTTTGCTGCTGCTGTTTGCTGAATAGAGTTGACTTTAAGTTCACACTTAGAGCAAAGTCTCACTTGTAGTGGGGTGCATAGAGGAAGAAATAGATAAGCCGGGTGTCGTCTTGTTCATGAGTTGACCCCCTGAGGCCTGAAGCATTTGGCAGTCTTCCTCATGTAATTAATTTATCTCCCATGAATTTCCATCTTCCTTCTGCACAGAGATATCCTCCATGACAGCAACTCCCCATCCTATTTGAATTGTCAGTCATCTCAGCTGTTGGATTACAAAGTCATAGGACCAAAGAATTGCTCTCCAAAGAAGGGAAAGTAAAATATTTCTTTATAGCTAGAACTCAGACTCCTTTGATAGTTATGATATTCAGCTTGATAAATAATTAAAAATGTAATTCAAATAGCTTTACTTGAAAGGCAGAATAAATTTACATCAATATAATGGCTGAGATAGCTGTTGTTACACTGTATATCAGTATAATTAGTTTAATTATAACTAAGCTATAGTTACATTAATTATATTTTAACCTTGATTTTTTATAATGTTAATTGAGCATTAGTATGCACTGAATTGAATGTGCAGTTAAGAGTACAATGGAATGTCTAACTACTTTTGCAATTTGTAAATTTATACTTCATTTTGACTAATTAATGGAATTTATCTCTCTACAGAAGCCATTGTAAGTACCATATATATCACTGCCTTTATTTTAACTGCATTCAAAAACTGCAGAAAAAGCATACAAAAGCAAAGTAAAGTGCACAGCAGAGTCAATAGTGAAACAATTTTTCCAAAACCAGCCATAAGCCTGGGTATATCGAGGGTACTAAATTGTCTCTGGAACTTGAAACCGAGGTGTGCCTTTGAATGTCAGCCCACAGCTAACTATAAGCTACGTCGCCGGTAACCGCTGTAACAAATAAGAACCAAATCTGGTTTCTGCAATAACCAGCCTAGCCTTCTGGAAACTACAGGTCCAGTTCAGGCGGGAGAAGGCAACAGGTTTTGTCCAAGATCATTCTCACTTGTTCCAGTGTTTTGGTTTCTTTTCAGTGCCAGCAAAGGCTTTCTGACTGGAGTGCCCCATGTCATCCCAATGTGGCCTTCCAGGCTGGAATCAGATTTCAGGGGTTTCTTTCAACACACGAAAGAAATGGATCGATGTAAAAAGCCTTGAAATGATCAATGGAGGAACAACTTTGAATGAAAAATTTTATTCACGTAGAGTTTAGTTTATTATCCCCAGTATCTTGCAAGTCTGGCAAGTTTCTTTCATCGAGAGTACAAAACTCTAAGATGAGCGCTCCAAACTTACGAAAGCCTCCTTGAGTCCTGGATTTTTTTCAGGATGATTTGCACCAAAGTATCATAATTCTCACTGTATAAATGGAGACCAAAGCACTTAGAAAGGGATGGAATACAATATCTTCCATGCTTCAAGTGCTAGACTGTGCTATTTTTCTTGAGGATGCCACACATTCTGTTGACCTTTTCCGAAAGTGTACTAGAAATGTAATTTTGCAACTTTAAAATTTTGTTTAACATATAAAGTTTTCTGGATGTGTTCTGTTGGTTTTGTCTGTTGCAGTTTTTCCACTTTAAAGGAAAAATTAAATAGTAAGTGGAAGTATTGACCGAGCATAACGATATAGTCTAAAAATGCAGTCTTCACTAGGAAGGAGAAAACTTGTGTTCCATGTTAGTTCTGTCTTAACTTGATCAGGATATGTAACCAAAGTTGCTAACAGAATTTAAAGAAAACAGTTACTCAGTGTTTTTATAATGGTACAGAAAGTCCTGTATTAGTGTAAAAGTCTGTTTTCCTGCCTATAGTTTTTAGATATTACACTGGAATTCATTGTGTCTACTGTACTATGGACAAAAAGGCTGAGAGGGGTTGGAATCTGTACTTATATGTTCTTTCTCTCTTTATTTATAAAACAGGCTGATTTTTTTCTTCCTGTATGTCCTGTGGTTTATATGAATGGCCTAATGAGAAATGCTAGCATGCTGATAACAAAAGGGCAGAAAACAAGCATCTGTTTTTCTCTAGCTTGAGGAAAAAAAACATCATTTTTCTGCATGCTAATCGAGATTTCAGAAAATATTAAAAAATGTATTTCCAGTTTGATTCTGATAACATCATATATGAAGATGTTTGTTAAGGAAGAAGAGGATTATAATTAGTTTAATGAATGGCATCAGAATTTTTTAAAAAAAGGGAAAGCATTTACAGTATATCATTCAGTGAAAAGGTTTTCTGGTATCATGCCATCACTACTTGAAACGTTCATTTCACTTAGACCCATTAAAATGAAATCTGAGAGATTGACTGAATTTCAAGGAAAATCAATTTCCAGAGATGAGGGCAGTTTTCTATTGTAAGATATGTACTATAATTAAAAATTATGCTGTGTTTTTCTTTCATCTATTCTTTCAGTATTCCGAAAAAGCTTAGGACCTGGCTAAACAGAACTGAAGATGATTTCCAGCTTTTTGATTTGAAAATCTACTCAGTGATATTGCCAAGGGAAGAATAGGCATTGTACTATACATACCAAAAAAGTCTCACTAAAAGACCAGAATCCTCATATGGCTTTTTTTTTTTTCAGGTCAGATTGTTTTCTGCTTTGAGAGATACAGAGACAGAAAAAAATTAGGTCCGTGAGTTCTTTAGTGAATACATTAGAATCTCTTTATTAATGGGAACTCTTTAAGTGTTCAAGGTCAGCACTAATGGATAAAGTTGCAAGATAAGGACCAAACTGAGTAAGAATATTAAATGATCTATTCTCACTGTACTCTTCCTTTATGAAAGCTAAAGGTCAGTGGGTGGGATATCGTTCATCTAAGGCTGTGTGCTTTACGGGAGGCACAACACCAAAGTCATGTCTGTACTATTGGCACTGGGGACACTGATGTGTTTTTATTTCCTGATGCAAACGCAGTAACTGTTGTCTAATACATTTCTAGCTAAAGAACATTAGATGTCTGTTATTTTTTGCAGCCATGCATACTTATTTTTTGTTCTTCATGGTATGGACCCATTCCAGACTAGATGTATCTATCCAGCTACAAGGTTCATGCTGAGTAAAAGTCCCTGAAATTACCCCTGAGTGTGATTTGTTCTCTGTGACTGCACTTGGCGTATTACCAAAAGCTCAGTCTCTTGTTTCTCCAAAGACAGCAGCTGCACCAAAAGAAAACCTTGTTAGTGTGCCTGAATCTTCCTAGTAAAACAAACCTCAGACACATATCTCTGTGTTCAGCAGCATCTAGATAGCATTTCACTGTGGATAGTGTTTCACTCTGTTAGAGTTCATTAAAAAAGGAAGCCACTGCTTCTGACAGGTTATGCAAAAAGATCAACATTAATCAGTCCATATCTTATGATAAAGTTCATCTTAAAAAATAATTTGATTAGATTTAGGTATGGCTGGAAACTGAGCTGGTAAAAATTCTGTATATACGTTATTTAAAATAACCTATAAGTGGATATAAATTAATGAGGAAGTACACTTCTGGTATCCTCTTTCCCCTATCACTCCTTTTCTTTTTTGCTAAGTCTTTGTCTAGAGAGATGTCTACAGGCAGTTAACTTCCTTGGCACCATCCAAACCTACAAAGATACTAAAATTTTATATCATTTTCATTAAGAGCAAAGGACCGTTCTAATTAGTCCCCAGCAAGGTTCGTCATAATCATGATAATTTATCTTTTGATAGCATTAAAATATATTTTGATGCCACAGTTCATTATGTAAAATGCAGAATTTGTGTTTTCTTTTTCTCCCCAGACTCCTGAATCTTGTTAACAGGAGATACATATTTATATTTTTACTAGTGCTAGTTTCTGTAGATCCTGCACTTAATACATTTACTTTGAGTCTAAATGATTAATCATATATTTTGTTCTCTTAAACAGAAATGTAGAAAACCACTAAAGTATCTTAATTTTGACAGGTCTTTTTTGTACATGTAAATCAGCATCACTGAATGTTGACTTAGATGTTGGAATAAATAGGATAGATTTAGTGTCATTATGGGTAATGAGACACCCTTGCAATCAAGCTTGCTTCTTAGCAATGAATGTAATTTCAAGTAATGCTGTACAGCTACAAAGTAATGGCCAAAGTCTCTTAAATCAGGATCATTTTTTTCCTGTATTGTCTTTTAACCTACTAGGCTTTAATATTCTGTGTTTTGTTTCACTCTTGTTGTTTAGAGAATGCATGCATGCATATGTGTGTGCACAGACACACAAAGAATAAACAGCCACATTTCCCTCTCTCTCTCTCAACTACTGCCCCTTTAATATTGAATGTGATGCACGCAGTATGATTTTTGAAATATGTCTCCTTAGAGCAGTGTCTACCAAAGAGATAAGGAAGGTAAACCTGGCAAGAATTAATTCTCATAGATCTGTCCTCCCTCCTGTGTTGATCTGTTCACCTTGACACACACACACCGTTAGAATAGTGATGTGTGGGTGGCAGTGCTAATCTGAAAAGGACAAAAAGCGTGCATTGCATGTGGGTGGTACAATGGTAAGTGACCATAGCGAAGAGATTCAAAGTCATTTAACTATGGAAGTGAGGCTAAGTGTGTTTGTTTTGAAGACTCTATATCCCATGGGTGAAACCCAGGGCTGTGGTTTTTTTAAACAACATTCAAGTCTCTCTCTTTTTCTTTAAACAGGTCTGAAATGGATATACTGTCTGCTAGCGCTGAAGGCATTCTCATCGGCTATTGTCCACAGCAAGATGCCCTAGATGAACTTTTAACAGGTTGGGAGCATCTGTATTATTACTGCACGCTGCGTGGAATTCCAAAACAGGATATCCGTAAGGTAACTATCCAGAACAGATTTGCAGGGGGAGCTAAAGCCAGGTTGGGCTGTGGAGTTTATAAAACAATTGTACTTTTTTTACATGAGAGAATATCTAATATTTCATCTTAACAGCTTTAGCAATAAGATTTTTCATTACTACTTTATTTAAAAAATATGGATTTTTTTTCTGTCTGTTACGCCAGTTCAAAACACAATAACTTCACTAAGGATAGTAAAATAACATTAATGCAAATGAAATCTCAGGCACAAAAACTCTAAAGGAAATGAAATTTATGAATGGTTCAACACCTTCATTATCACACTTAGAGAACTGGAAGGGAACACCACATGTTCTGAGTCATGCACCTCTGAAAAACTCTTTTCTTCAGAGATGGGTTTAAACTCTGAAGGAATTAAAAATTGTTGAATGATTGTATAAATAAACCAAACGTCTGGGTGCCAAGATGGCAGCTGTCAACACTCTGCTAGTAAATGTCTTAAACTTCACAAGATGGTGGCTGCATTCAAACCACCTGCTGGGAGCGGTCCCTAAAATATTCCAGCTGCCATACGAGGCCTGGGGTTGTTCAAGGAGAAGAGGCCAAACCTGTGTGTTGCGGTTTAACCTGGCAGACAGCTAAACACCACACAGCCGTTCGCTCACTGTCCCCGCCCCAGTGGGATGGGGGACAGAATTGGAAAAAAAAAAGTAAAGACAGTTTAATGGGACAGAAAAGGAAGGGAAAATAATAATAATAATATACAAAATAAGTGATGCACAATGCAATTGCTCACCACCTGCCAGCCGACACCCAGCCAGCCCCTGAGCAGCGGTTGCTGACCCTGGCCAACTCCCCCCAGTTTATATACTGAGCATGACGTCACATGGTATGGAATGTCCCTTGGGCCAGTTTGGGTCAGCTGTCCTGGCTGTGCCCCCTCCCAGCTTCTTGTGCATCTCCAGCCTCCTTGCTGGCAGGGCAGTATGAGAAGCTGAAAAGTCCTTGACTTGGTGTAAGCTCTGCTCAGCAACAACTAAAACATCGGTGTGTTATCAACATTATTCTCATCCTAAATCCAAAACCCAGCACTGTACCAGCTACTAGGAAGAAAATTAACTCTATCCCAGCTGAAACCAGGACACCGTGTCAGAAAATGCTTTCAGAGCTTACTAGCATAGATGATGACAATACCTGGGAATGTCACTGAGAGGATTTGAATTTACAGATACAGATGTAGCTGTGCTGACCAGCAAACAGTGCTCTTTTTCTGTAATGAGGCAACCAGGCAGGCAATACCAGAAATTAAGTACCAAATGGGTATAGTGTAAATGTGGGTTTTTTTCTGTCTCTGCAGATGGAAGTTTCTGATCTGACCTGGACTTGAGCAGCTCAGTCCCTTGTGCTTAATTGCATCTCTATTAATATGAGAAAACTGGAGTGTGATATGAAATTTGTGTCTGTCATTCCTGCTGTATAGATTGGTCCCATGTAGGTGCTATGGCTGTAGGATTGTCCTCGTAACCTCCAGAATGCTGCCTGTTGTCTTCCTTTTCCTTTTCCCAGAAGCAAATCCGCATGTAACTGAAATATCTTTTTTTCTACCTACCCAGCATTTTCCTGGCTATTGCCTCAGGGTCCGCTAAGTGGTTTACAGTCAGTTCCTTGTCTGTATGTGAGAGGGCCGCCTTCTGGTTCTTTGCAGCTTTTTTTCCCCAGCAGCTAGGTACTATTCCAGAAAAAGGTATGATTCTTGCAATGGGACATTGAGTATTCAGAAATAACTGCCATCGTGCCCCAATAATAGCATCACGACAGGCAATATTTTGAATTTTTCCTGTCTTAAGGTAATCATTTGAGTGTTTCTGGATGAGGGACTGGGGAAATAAAAGATTCTTACAAGTCTTTGCCCCTTCTCTTGGGCACTATCCTGCCTGGCTGGACTTTTAACTAACTGTTTTAACAGTACATTTCTTGCAGGCTGCTTAGAAATCATCATACAGTCTTTTATTTAGTTGTTTGCTCTTCATAACTTATCGGTGGCAGTTTTTGCTTCTGAGTACTAGCAGAGTAGTGAAAACTTGAATATGTATCCCTTGATCTAAAGGAAATATATTAAGGGATAATTGTTATTGCACTAAACCCCTCAACTATAATTACTTATTTTCTCCATGAACTGACAGCTCCTCTCTAACAGTTGGGCTAAAAGCCTATCATAACTAGCATCTATTATTGTGGCACTTTAATAGACACAAAGGTGGCAACAGATTCTGGCATCTCCTCTAGAGCTTTGTAGTCATTTAAAAGGCTGCTGTTAAATATCCATGTTATTGAATGCTTTTGGTCCTATGCGTAATTTAAAACAGGAATCAAAGTTTGATGGTTTAATGATGCAGCAGTGCTCTTAAAATGCTCTAAACATGGCTTTTAAGCTTTTCTGTCTTATCATTTTCATAAGAAAAGACAATATATTCTTGTAATGCATATGTCCAAATGGTACACCATGTGCTATAAATGAAGCAGTTTTTAAGACACCCTAAGAAGAATGGAAATTTCAGAAGCACCTGAATGATAGAAGTACATAGTTTTAATTAAATTTTGTGGGACTCACTTAACTCACATACCTTGGGTCATATACATACAGTGTTACCCTTAGCAAGCTCATTCCAGAGTATAGAGTAAGCATACTCCCCATTTGTGAATAAGGTGAAGCACATAAACCCAGGTGGGTGGTGATCCTCTGAGAGAGAAATGGAGTAGGAATGAGCCTATGAGGCAGGCTAAGAAGGACTTCCCCACAGTTAAAATAATTGCCTCAGCCTTATTGGAAGAGTTACTTTTATAACTGACTTGAATTTGCCAAGAGGGGTGTCTGAGTGAGAGCTGAATAGGGTTTTTAGTGCTGTGCTACCTTTCTGAGTCCTGGAGTCACAGACTTTTAGCTGTTGTTTTATTTTAGTACTCACAGGTGTGAGGAAAAGCTGTTCAGGTGGCACTGGCAGACACCACCTTATTGGTAATACCTCAACTGCAGACAACTGGAGACAGCTTTGAGGAATGTGAACTGATCCGTGCATTACAATGGGCCGTTAATGCTTTAATCTTACACTCTGTGCAAACTCCGTCAACGCCAGGTAGTAGAGGAGAGTGTCTGTGTGTGTGTGTGCACATGAATCCTGCTGTGACTGCTTGATTTGTGACTCCTTCAGGTCATTTGGCCTCCCAGCAGCAACTGTTTTGGAGGATGAGGAGTAGGATCAGGAGCTATGTGGAAGCTTGAGAATGGAGAGAGATCTGTGGCGTGCTTAAGGACCTGGATTTCATAAGTAAACTGTCCCATGCAGCACTGGGCTTTTCTCAGGTGCCTAGGAAGTTTTCCAGATTGCGATGAGCAGGACGATACCAACAGATTTCTATGCTGTGTCTGCAGGGTGTCTCTCTGCTTGCGCATATGTAAATGAACACTACTGCAAATGCTGCCTCCTGTCTGTGTTTGGTGAGGAGCCACAAGGGTAACCTGGCTTCGTATACTTTCTCTGTAGATAATGTGAGTGTAGTGCTCTCTCTGAAATATCTGGCATTCATAAAACCCATTTCAAATGCAGAAACATTTATGAATAATTGGTGTACCTAAGAGCTTCCACTTTATGTTCAGATCCAGCTATTCTCTGGGCAGTTAGTACACAGCTGCTCCAATGGCAGTTCTCAAAACCATTTGGGGAACAGTGCCTCAAATGGTGTGGTAATTCATGTACAGGTCCTGCTTCAAGTGAATCAAAATCAATTCTGCATTATTTAGAGATGAGTTATGTTACTGTGGTGCACTGGGAGAAGATAAATGTTAATCTTCTGATTATCCTGGACCTTAGATGATCTAAGTGTAGGCTTAGACTATTCTTTATAAGCAGCCTTCTGTGCCTTAGTTTCACATTTGTGATACGGAGACCGTTCTTCCTTTCAGTTGTCCTAATTTTTTGTCTGCGTAGATGTCGAGCAGACTTTGTTGCCATATGCTTGCGATCAAGGCATGAAAGGACTCCTGCAAATAATATTTAGCTACTCTGGTGTCCTGGTTTCAGCTGGGATAGAGTCAATTTTCTTCCTAGTAGCTGGTACAGTGCTGTGTTTTGGATTTAGGATGAGAATAATGTTGGTAACACACCGATTTTTTAGTTGTTGCTAGGTAGTGCTTACACTAGCCAAGGACTTTTCAGCTTCCCATGCTCTACTGACTGAGAAGGCTGGAGGTGCACAAGAAGCTGGGAGGGGGCACAGCCAGGACAGCTGACCCAAACTGGCCAAAGGGACATTCCATACCATGTGACGTCATGCTCAGCACATAAACAGGGGGGGGAGTTGGCCGGGGCATGGCTGCTGCTCAGGGACTGGCTGGGCATCAGTCAGTTGGTGGTGAGCAATTGTTTTTCATTTGCATCACTTGTCTTTCTTGGGTTTTATTTCTCTCTTTTTGTTATTTTCCTTTTCATTGCAAA